TTCATGGCTGTCCACCTTTACCATTTCCCTGACTTCTAACCACACTGGGCTAGATTTTGCCTCAGAAGTGTTTGTCATGGGCAGCAAGATGCTCAGTGGGTAAAACACTTGCTGTCAAGTTTGATGATCAGTGTTCAGTCACTTGGACCTCCATGATAGAAGGAAAAAAAAAATGACCCTCAAAAGTTGTCCTACCTGTACACATACCATGTCCCCACCCAACCCCCACAATAAATAAATAAAAGTGTAATTTTAAAAAATTAAAATGACTATGGTGTCTCTGGCAGTGGAACCAGTATTTATCCCTAGTGCACAAATGTGCTTTGGGAGCCCATCCCTATGGAAGAATATTCTCTCAGCCTAGATACAGGGGGCTGGGCCAGGTCCTGCCCCAAATGATGTGACAGACTTTGATGATCCCCCATGGAAGGCCTCACCCTCCCTGGGGAGTAGATGGGGATGGGATGGGGAGATGGGGGGGGGAGGGAGAATTGGGGTGGTATGTAAAATAAAATTGTTTTTAATTTAAATAAAAATTAAAATGAAACATTTGTTACTGCTGTCCCTTTTCATGTCTACTGCTGCTATTTTCTCCCTATCCTTACATCTCCAGGTTTTCCTTTGTCTAGTCTCCCTCATACCCATTTCACTTGAATCTTTGATGGTTCCCACTAGCGACAAGACAATGTTTCCTGTCCCTACAGTTCCACAGTTCTGGTCTTTACTCTGTGGATATGGGTGCCTTATTGTTTGTCCAGGTCACAAGTTACTGTGAGCATCCCTTCAGACCAGAATCAATGGCTCCCTCCTCCAGCTCTCCTGTAATTCTTGTTATTTCTTTAAAGTACTTAATAATGGTGTTATAGTTTGTATATGTGAGTAGGTGTCTTCTGACAATTCACAGTAGTAGTTTATACCAGTTGCCATAGCAAGCTAGCTTAGAAATATAATAGTTCAAACATTAAAAAAATTTCTCAGTCACATTAAGTCCTCCCCCCAAAAATTCCTGTTTTGTGAGTGGCCTTCAAGGTGTTCGGCAGGACCGTGATTTGGGTTCCTTTGCTCTTGTGACTCACCACTTCTCTGCACTTGGTTTTCAAAGTCCCCACGTTTATCTCAATACAGCAAATAGAAAAGAGCATAGAGAAGATATCATGTAGGAGGTTTCATGGGCCAAGCCTTCTGTTACATTAGCTATAAATTCAGTCATGTTCCACACTGGATCATACAGATTGGAGGACATTAACCTCGAATGTTCAAGAGAAAGGACAAGTAGGGTGGGTAGTTAGCTAGTCTTCTCTCACAGGCGTATACCAAGTTGATCTTTGTAGCCTTAGTCCCTGGCACATAGAAGGCACTGAATATCCTATGTATAGTGTCATTAAATAGGCAGTGGTTCTGCAGTTGAATGAAAGGAGAAATGAAACAATGAGTAGCCATTGTACCCTTCCAGACCAGTATCCTCTTTTAACCAAGGTGCCGGTGATTTTTTAAAATCTCTGGTATAATTTATATACCAGCTAGTTTGGGATAGGCTTCTTAAATCTTTTACACACACACACACACACACACACACACACACACACACACACACACACACACGCAGAGAGAAAGAGAGAGAGAGAGAGGAAGAGACTCATCTCTATGTACTCAGTACTCAGTACCATTGTACTTGCTGGGCATCTAAAAGGCCCTGGCTTTAATTCCTGGTGCTGCAGGAAAACAAAATACAGAAAAGATAGGCAGATACTTGATTGAATTTTCTCATAATAACAAATTTTCTATTGCTGTGACAATACACAATGACCAAGCCAAGTTTATAAAAGAAAACATGTAATTGGGCTTACAGTTTCAGAGGGCTAGAGTCCATATGGAGAAGCAAAGGTGTCTTGAGTACCTACATCCTGATCCTCAAACAGGAACACAAAGGGCTCTACCATATGTCCCCGAGCAGATGTTTTTTGTTGTTGTTTGTTTCCAAGACAGGGTTTCTCTGTGTATCACCAAAATGTCCTGGAACCTGCTCTGTAGACTAGGTTAGCCTCAAACTTGTTTTGTTTTATTTTTGAGTCAAATTCTCATTATGTAGCCCTGGCTATATAGACCAGACTGACCTCAAACTCACAGAGATCTTTGCCTTCCAAGTGCTGGGATTAAAGGTATATGTTACCATGCCTAGCTTAAAATTTTAAAAGCCTTTATAGTTTCAGTAGTTAATATTGAAGATTTGGTTAAATTTTATTTTTTGACAAAAGGGGACTCCAACTTTTAGTTATTTTATTTTCCTAAATACTATAATATTTTCCTAAATACTGTTACTTAATTGTCAAATGTCCTACAAATTCTAGAGAGATGAGCTTGTTTTTGCCATAGCTTCAGTATCTATCTGCACTTGTATAGTATTGAAGCACAATTGCACTTCTACATGTTATTGGCTCAATGTGTTTCTTATTCGATTTGTTAATAAAGTCACTGTTTTGTAACAGTACTAGTGAGTTGGGTAATTTATTAGTCAAGTGTCTCCAAAGATACAGAATAAAAACTTGGTAGAAAAGAAATTATTTAAAATAAGCTCCAAGTCACAGAACTCAGGATTGAAAGCCAGTCCAGACAGGATAGAACTTGTTAGAAGGTAGACGACAAGGAGAGAGTCCTCCTGGAAGACGAAATTGAGGGAATTCCTGATGCATTAAGAAAGGGAAAGAATGTCACTTGAATTAGTTTAATAAAATTCTGCTTTATGATACATAGTAGTGACCATACTTTATCAGAGCTGTTTTTAATGTTGTTGCTCAGTTTGTTAATGAAAAGAGTTTTGTATTTGGTTTAGTTTCTTGGTTGGTCATAGTGACATGGGCAACTGTAACCCCAGCACCTGAGAATCTGAAGCACAAGGACCACGGCTTAGAGATAGTTGAGGCCTCAGAGCAATACCCTGTCAGAAAAGAACGATGTGAGTGAATGAGCGAGCAAATGAGTGAGTGTGTGTGTGAGTGCATGAGTGAGTGTGTGTGTGACTGTATGAGTGAGTGAGTATGAGTGCATGAGTGAGTGAGTGTGTGAATGAGTGCATGACTGAGTGAGTGAGTGTGAGTTAGTGAGTGTGTGAATGAGTGCATGACTGAGCGTATGACTGAGTATGCGTGAGTGAGTGAGTGTGTGAGTGAGTGAGTGAGTCCATGAGTGACTGAGAGAGTGAGTGTGAGTGAATGAGAGTGAGTGAATGTGTGAATGAGTGCATGACTGAGTGTATGGGTGAGTGAGTATGCGTGAGTGAGTGAGAGTGAGTGAATCCATGAGTGAGTGAGTGTGAGTGAAAGTGAATGAGAGTGAGTGAGTGAGTTTGTTTATGGATACAGATGAGATTCTAAGTTGAAATTGTTTCATTTTGTAGGTAAGCTTTCATTTTGTTGATTTGAGAAATACAGGCCCTTCTGAGTCATGAGGTTTCTTGTCATCTGTTCTTTTCTGTGCATTGTGTGTGTATGGGGGGTGGAGGGTGGGATTCCTTCTTACCCATCTTTTCCTGAGATTCCCGGTTAAGTGCTTTAGTGAGTTTGTAGTTCTGGGTCCTGAGAAAGAGAAAACTACCCATGACTGTTGTTAGTGTAGACAGACTTTAATTTAATTGCAAGGGGTCCATGGGAGTAGATATGGGACCATTCCAGTAGGGTCTTGCTGTGGAATAGAAGGGTTAGGCTCCACCACAGCTTAGTAAGGGAGTGAGCTAAGGATGAGTGCATGGGGAATAACTAAGAAATAACCGGTCATACTGGTTCTGGTATCAGCAGCTGAGCACTTCTCAGACTTATTCAAATTAGCTTCCTCTGGGACAGAGAGGAAAACTCAGTGTCAGACCAACTCAGCTTAGG